TTATTGTATCTTCTGCAAGTTCTGAGATAAGGCCACCCTATACACATTTGTATATATTTTTCTATGATGACGACGTTTCGTCTTCTAAAGAATGTCCGTTCTCAGTCGAGGCCCGCGTTCGCGTAACCGACATTTTCCCGACGATCCCGATCCGATAATTATTTGTTTTAACAGGCACGCCTAAACAAGAGATTTGTCTTGTAGCCGGCGTAACGTATATTCGACGAATGTCGTGTTCTGCCTAATTTCTTTTCAGTCAACGAATCATTTTTCTCGCCCCGTCAAGCCCGGACCTCTGTTCAACGTACCAAACAACGTGCGCTGTCAAACATGTTACGTTCGGCCGACATAGTTGTGAAAACAGGAATAAATCAACATCGGTTCGGAAAGACGTGATTGGGTAAATAAAATTCCAGAATTATGTCGGGGGTTATTATTTTTTCAGGCCGAGTATATACACGATTAAAAAATAAAAAATAGAACGCGGGGCGTTGAGTGTTACAGTGTTTTTACACGTATAGCTGGCCAATTTAAATTTGATTTGATTATTTTTTATTATTTTTTTTTATTTATGTATTAGTATAGTGAGTTTACAAATAAATATTGATCTTACAAATAATATATAATTCTGATATTCGATAGACACAGCACGATACTTTTTTTGAATCTGCGTGAGTTGGTTAATCACTTAATTACATTGATTTTGTTCAAGGTTACGCTGTACACCTGTCTAATAAGTACGCATTAACTAGAGATTCTTACAATCGGTGGTTATACCTGATGTTTAACTTTTTTAAATGTGTCTATTTCTCATGAGAGACTTAAATACTACAGGATGATATGCCTTTTGAGTTTTTGAAAGCCGTTTGAAATACGTTTAACTAGATCTTTAATGAGACTTCAAGTTTTTACAATAGCATCTATTTCTAATACGAGCAGGACAGCATTACAGGACTATGTATTTATTACAGATTTTATTAATTTCTACAATTCATTGATATACTTGTTGCTTAAAGTGTATTATTAACTATATATATATATATATATATATATATATATATATATATATATATATATATATATATATATATATTTATGATGACACTATATTCCGGGATATCATCCGTTCGCTCGTTGAACTCCGACTGGAATCCTGCATCCGACTGGAATCCTGCATCCGACTGGAATCCTGCAAACACTTCGAGTGTTCGAAGTGTTTTCGGAGCGCGAGCATTGAAGATGCCAAGTAAGATTTTGGCGAAACGTCTGCAGGATTCCAGTCGGATGCAGGATTTGCAGGATTCCAGTCGGATGCAGGATTCCAGTCGGAGTTCAACGAGCGAACGGATGATATCCCGGAATATAGTGTCATCACATTTTTCCATCCGTGAATCAATACGTGAGAATATATATATATATATATATATATATATATATATATATATATATATATAATTTCTAAAAGGTCCAACAGTTGTTAAAAGTACGACAAATGTGAGAGACAAGCTTTCTGTTTAATGTACCAGATTTTTAATGACACTACATTTTCTACTTTCAAATACTCAATTTTTAAGAGAGAAGGCAGTGCTTTAAACGCTGCAAGACTCAATATGACGGATATGCCTATCAGTTCCTCAAAGTCTGATAAAAGAGAGAGATAAGCTTTCAGTGTAATACTGACTGTGTATTAACTAGGGTTTTAGTGAGACTGTAGTTTCTACAATTCATTGATTGAGATACCTGATGCTTAACTTTTTGAAATGGCATATTTCTAAGGAGAGCAGGCAGAACAGTAAAGACTACAAGCTGATATTCCTTATAATTTTCTAAAAGTTTGCAAATGTCAATTTATGGTATATATGATAAGCTTTCTCTAATAATATTCGCTAGAGACTTAATAAGAATGCACTTTCTGATATTTGGAAATGGTCGACTTCTAACTAGAGCATTAGAGACTATAGGACCCAGAAACATAAGAGCGTCTCTAATTTGCTAAAAGTCTAACAGATGAGAGACATATATTGAGATTTATTATTATGAGAATTTATTTCTGGTAGTGTGTACAAGTTATCATGGCCCTGTTGTGCTCTCAAGAGTTGAGATAAAATAAAAAAGCAATATCATGTTCAATAGAGCATTATTTATACCTTAATTCCCGGGCAGTTTAAATGGTGACCAAAGATATTTTAAAATAATAAACCATATGGTTTTGTACGTGCTCTAAAATCGGTCGGTTAATTTTAGTTGGTTTTGCTTCGTTTTCGGTTGCTTTTAACTTGTGTCTTATAGCAAAACTAACCAAAACCAGCCAGAAATAATATGAGGTAGAGTGCAAAGGGCACAACAGGCAGCAAAATACTGAATAAATTTATACCGCCAAATCCATACTCACAAAAGTTCTGAGGTTTTAATCAACACATTCAATTGTAACTATAGTTGTCATTAAATTTCTGCTGCTGTTAGTAAATGATCCTGCATTTTCCCTTATACAAAAAATCATCAAAATTTAATCTACAAAACCCCAAGCGCGACTCGAGTCATCAAAACGACAAATATTTTTATTATTATTTTTTTTAATTGATGTTGTGCCTATTTATAATATATGAGCATGAGCAATCACTGTAAATAGTGTACAATGATATTTTACATATTACTATTGAAAAAAAGACTAAAAAAGTGATTTGCCTCTATAATTCTGATTAAAACAAAAAAAAATATTTAAATTTGGTTACTAAGTTAGCGAAAATAGGTTAATTGAGTCAATTATTAAATCACATTAAATCAATTAGCAAATTATAAGACAAAATTATGTCAGTCAATTACCAAATGATTGGATAAATTCCTTAGTAATTTGACAACAGCAACTAAAAATTCTAAAATTATGTATTTTCTATTGTCAACTAACGATCGATTTTGAAAAAAATATGTAGTGTAAAAAGTGGTTAGATATTCGGCTTAGATAATTATCTGAAATGCTAAGACCCTTGATACTTGATAATGATTAATGATGACAAATTCTTGACTCTTCATATTTTTCGCCGTTGAGGATCATAATAAGGGAAAATGTAACGCTGCAGGTCTCCGAGGATGTCAATTTTGCCGTTTTTGTTTCGTTAATTGACATTAAGCTCTTTTCTTGGAAGACTTGAAAGAATTAAAAATATTTTGGATTATAATCCCATAAAAAGTACAACGGGAATACAAAAATAACCAAAAGTCTACATTGCTGTAAGTAGAGATACAACGTGAAAATCTTTTTCTAATCTTTTAAAATATGCAGAACGATTATGACAAACGTTAAAATGTTTTACATAAGTGATACATAAAATTACGCATAAATATACACTGTCAAATAATATCGACGTCATTTGGCAGTTTTTCGGAGAAATCAATCAATTCACACAACATCCCTACATTTTGATAAATACCAAATGCCCAAGCACTATTTATTTAAAGCGACTTTAAAAATTGTGGCGAGAAACGCATCGTCTTTACTAATCGGAGCTGATATTATTATTCCGGCGTCATAAACTTATTGAACAAACTGTACGGCAGTCGGCCAATGGGCATCCGGAGAACGATTCAGGTGGCCCGATTGGTGAGTCAATTCAGTATCGATACTTCACACCTATGCCAAGGCCGTGATTTGCTTTTTGATAGCGATAACGCGGTGTTGGTTATTGGTCCCGTGCGGTCTCGACGATTATTATTTGTCGATTTCAAGGTTGCCCACGCCGGTGCGCTGGCTTCGTCCGTATCGTGACGAGTCGACGCGGAAAACGATTAAATTCAATTTAAAATCGATGTACGAAGAAATTATAAGGCGAAATATGTTTTTTTTTTTAATAAACAAGGTAACATAATATTGAAAAAAATGTTATTATACCGTACAAAATTATAAAGTATTTATTTGTGCCTTAACATATCTTTTATTTTTTGTCATTATACACTAATTTATTAGAAGTCAACCAATTGTCTCCCGTAATATTTCTATTTGTATTTTCAATCGGTTTCTTCTTGCAATATTCTTGCCAGTATAAATGAACGCATTGATAAGATAATGAGTTTTAACATCACATAGGCATCTAATCTTTAACCCAAATTTTGCAGGTTTACTCTTTATATACATCCTAAATTTGCATTTTCCCTTGAATATCACCAGAATTTTGTCAACGGTCGCAAATTCTGTGTAGTTGGTATATTACCTTCAAAATACAGCAGCGTGTTTAATTCCCAAATAAAAAGAAATAGTATTATAACTAGTAGTTATCACAGAATATTTGCACCAATTTTTTTAATTCGTTAGAAATGTTTATTAGGTAATGGAGTTGGAGAACACAAACTTAGAAGCCAACGTGATTCTTACATTTTCCATTTAATGTCTCGCTGTTATATTATTAAAACTGCTTAAAGTAATCAAAAAACTACTCCAAACACGTAAACTATTTGATTACTGAAACAACAATAACGATGATACCATGAAATAAATAGATAAACCCTTCCCTCCGCCTTCATGCATCATGACGTCACAAGGGGTTTGTGCGTGACGTTATATCTAGAGGGCTTTGGGTAAACTTTAAGTGCTTAAATTTTAATTAAACCTTTTTTTATGACGATTAAAGTTTAAAGTTTAAAATGCATGTGCAAAGGGCCTATTGCGTCAAGGATACCGTGATCCCATTTGAATTTTAATACGATGTTGCCAATATTTTGCAAAAAAAAATTGAAATATTTATTTTTATCTGCTGCCTTTATAATATTAAAAATATATTAAAAACTTTAGAGTACTTTGTCGAGAACCATTCAATAATAAAGGCAGCAGATGTAAGACATCATAGGAAAACCTGTTTTTTTGACATATTTTATAATTTTTTCCCATAAGTTTGCACCATTAAAATCATCTCTTCATAAAAACATTTCATGGAGGAACGCAATATCTGTTAAAACTAACAAAATAATTTTTTTATAAATTTTTGATATCAAAAATATATTTGTTTCAGGGCCGCAGGTAGCGAATTGGTCATGAATCCTAAGCAGATGTGCAAGAGAGCTAGAAGATCCAAAGGCAAGATGGCCGAAATTTGCAACAAGTCCAGACTCCTCGAGCACATCACCACCGGCATCATGTTAGCACAGAACGAGTGCCAATATCAGTTCAGACACAGAAGATGGAACTGCACTTCGTCAAAGAAAAGTATTAAGAAAGTTATGCTGCGAGGTGAGTTTGATTAAGCTTTCGTTGAGGCTTTGGTATCGGTGTTGTTGCCTATCGCCTATCCGAAGAAAATGCGGACTCAAAACTTAATAACAGAGAGCAAGATTATTCTATTTAAAAGAGTCGATTAGTGATGATGTTTTATTGTCAAAGGAACTTATTTGTTCCATCATATTTTGTATTATTTCGTTCATAGTTATTTAATTTTGGTTATTTTCAGATTCAGGTCTTCATTTTACCCTAATATTGATTCATTTATCTTCAAATTTTTCTGCAAATATAAATCCACCATAAACAATTAATATGATTTGTAACTGTCAAATTGTAATTTTTGTATTTGTATCAAAACCACAACTCATGACGCAAATCTAATGCTGTAAATACTTTTTTAAATATAAGATAATATATACATTAATATCATTATATTCAGTTGATTTTTTTTTATCCAGTTGTCGGTTATTATAGGTACAATCATGGAAAGGCATAATAATAACGCCACCTGTGATTTTTCCTTCATATTTTATTCTCTTTTTTTAATGCATTTTGTTTCCTTGGATCTCTCTTATTTGCAATCTAACTGAACGGCGTGTTAGAACTAGACAGCGATGGTACTGTGCAGACGAAAGTGTTGTTTTCTTTGTCGAGGAATTCAGTCGACAAATCAGAGAAGTGACACAAAATCAATTTAGCTATAAATATAATAAGCTAACTATAAATGTTGGTATACTTCGACCAGAAATATAGTGCTTTTATAACCGACCCCGTGATTAACCTTATGCCGAGCAGACCCTCCCGCCCGTAACCATTCCAGGACCGTCCTAGGAATTTATTTACCTACAGTAACAATCTTTTTCGCCTAGCAATTCTTGAAACATGTACATAAAAAAAATAATACAAAGTAACAATTTATTATGTTCTATTTCATTACATTTTTACAATATACTGTAATATACAAAATATTAAATATAATAATAATAAAGTATCAGTCACTTAGAAAAAGCGCCACTATCGCTACTGTCGCGTTTATTAATGGTTTGAAACTGGAAATCCATTTTCTTCAAAAAAGTACGCAAAAGTACGCGACGATTTTAACACTTAAAACACTATTCACTGTATGAGCGTCACAGATTTTACGCCTAATTAGATCTGCGTGTTGCTCTTTAAAAACTTACGAAGTACCAGCATCTTCTCTCTCTTTCCTCTTGCTATCCCATTTGCAACAATTTTTCGTACAGTTGACTTCAGAACTTTGGTCATTTCACTTGTTTTTGTTGCTGCTCCTACTTCCCTTTCTGAATTTTTTGAAATTGCAAACATTCCAAAACAACTTGTTTAGCATCCGTAGACAAATGGATCCGTATTTTTATTTGCCGAGGTAGTTCGTCTTCGAAATTGCCCTTAGGTTCGACCACTATCTCCACTTCGTCTTCAAATTTTGCTTTGTTTTTCACGTCTTCTTCTAACAGGGCAACATCTGCTTCACTCCACGGTCTTTACATTTTAAAGTGTTAAAAAACTTGAACCTTCAATTGTAAGATTCTAATAAATATTTATCTGCATTCTTATGACGTCCCTTATCTACCGTGAATATAATCTGTAGTCTTAGAGAAGGCTGTTGTTGTTTACAAATCGAAGAACTATGTAGAAGACACAAAAACACAACAAGAAGAGTCTTGCTAATCGACAGGCACACAAGACAAAAGTGATTATATTCAAACGTACCTGTAAGATAAATACAGTACACAGAAGAGGATCACAGTCAAATGCTTCCGCAATATAAGGGGTGTTTTTTTTTTTCGATATAGAAATTTAACTTAACTTATTCCATTGACATGAATTTTATTTATTCGAAAGATAATCTTGTGGCATTACATTTTAAATATGATTTCGGGCACATGACCGCCCCGGCTGGCGCGGATGCAGTCCAATCTGGACGTCCAATTTTCGATGACTTTTTCCAACATTTGTGGCCGTATATCGGCAATAACACGGCGAATATTGTCTTCCAAATGGTCAAGCGTTTGTAGCTGATCCAATGATTTTACTTAGCCCCACAGAAAGTAGTCTAGCGGTGTTAAATCACAAGATCTTGGAGGCCAATTCACAGGTCCAAAACGTGAAATTAGGCGGTCACCAAACGTGTCTTTCAATAAATCGATTGTGGCACGAGCTGTGTGATATGTTGCGCCGTCTTATCGAAACCACATCTCTTGGACATCGTGGTTTTTCAATTTAGGAATGAAAGGGTTAGTAATCATAGCTCTATACCGATCACCATTAACTGTAACGTTCTGGCCATCATCGTTTTTGAAGAAGTAGGGACCAATGATTCCACCAGCCCATAAAGCGCACCAAACAGTCAGTTTTTATGGATGTAACGGTGTTTCGACATACACTTGAGGATTAGCTTCGGTCCAAATGCGGCAGTTTTGTTTGTTGACGTAGCCATTCAACCAGAAGTGCGCTTCATCGCTAAACGAAATTCGCTTATGAAAATCGGGAACAACGGCAATCTCGTTTTGGGCCCATTTGCAAGCGTTGTTCAGGCGTGAGTCTATTCACGATGAATTGCCAAACCAAACTGAGACTAAATCACTTGACAACTGTTAAATCGGTCGCCATCTTGAACAGTAATGCCAACTTAAAGGCAAGACCTACTTAATGCAGAATAAACATTTGTTGGGATGGGTTTTACCATGGTCCTGTGAAGGTACCGTAAAATGCTTAAAACGTCAAAGCAATAAGTTCACTATATTTTTGATCGGATTATAAAACGATATTTATTCCATCAAACTTCTGGAATTATAGAATGGGAAGCACATATGGAAGGCTTAAATGTTATGTTTCTTAGTGCGAAAGAGTTATAAATCAGTATTTAACCGTAAAGCTTAGCGATCTAAGCGATATTCTATAAGAATAGTATTGATGATGTCAAGGGTCCCAGTGGCAGGTAGAAGGACAGGTTATTGACCTACATGTGCCTTAAGGTTTAAAATTGTTAAAAATCTTCGTTCTTGAATATAGTTTTTCTGAAAAAGAGTCATATCATTCATTTGGCTTACTATAAATAAGAAGCAATTTCAAAAAGATGTGTTGAAAAAGAGGCTACGGTAGATTTTTGATTTGTTGGCGAAGAAATCACTTCCAAACCACATTTATAAACTAGGGGACGTTGAAACCCTCTTACAAGAGGCAATAAAGACTGTGAATTGTTAAAATTGAAAGGAGTGCGTTAGACATGTGATTAAAATTGAAGAACGAATCTGTGACTATTGTAAATATTATGACTAAAATTTTCATAATTTTTATTACAATTTATCTATTTTCATGTTACTTATAAATAAGTTTTTTATTTACTTGATCTTACCAAATAAACCAAAACTATGATTTATTTGACATAAAAGCTTTGATATAAAAACTTTGGTTAGTGATCTCTGTCATTACAAATTATTACAGAAATCAATCTTAAAGACTGTGTAAGAAGGTGGTGGACAATTTTTATCACCCCTTATGTCAAAAGCGTTAAATATGCTGGTACAATCCATCTAAGTTTTGTGATTTTTAAAAAAGCGAGGTATTTTCTGTTGGTGACAGGCAAGGTTTCGTAGCAGATTTTGACATAAAGTCATTGGAAATAACAGAAATGACTATATTTTTACTAGATGACGGTAATATATCTGATTTTAGATGACTTCGATGGAAAGTTCGTGTTAAACAAAACTGTGCACTTGGAAATGTAGCGAACATTTACATGGTGATTTTCCATATTTATTTTGTAGAGTTTATCTCTGCTTTTTCGAAAATCTACACCTATACTGTTCGTTGGAACGTAAAAGCAGGAGGAGTAGGAGTTTTAGGTAATGAAATTCTTATTGTTCGAATATGGAATTTTATGAAACGACTACTACTCCATTAATAAATAAATACATTGTTATCGCACTCGTCGACACGTACCGGCAAGTGCTTCTCCCATTAAAAATGCGCATACAACCTTACAAAGGTGTAAATTTGTGAGTGAGACTGTTGGAGATGTATCCGACTGATAAGTACCGGCAGGTAGCTGTTCGAAGATAATGTCCTCCTGTCAGTGAGCTTTTAAATATCTTAGTTTCGGGCCGGGTTATTAAGTACTCGAGAGATAAGGTTTGAAAATGACACTTGCTGCCTTGGCGTTTCATCCTTTTAGACGGTTTAAACATATAGCCGGGTCGAATTTAAATGCCCGGCTCATCTACGAGAGAATATTGTCAAATTAAATTAACGTCTTCGTTCACATCGATTTTCCTTTGTTGCAGATACTAGGGAAACAGGTTTCGTCAATGCGATAATAGCGGCCGGTATTACGTTTCAAGTTACAAGGGCTTGCACCAAGGGCGTGATCGGTTGCGCTTGCGACAAGAGGAAAAATAAAAGGTACGTAAGGCAACGACATAATCGAGTATTTAACTTTGGTAATTTTGTTTTATCTCGCTTGGGTTTCCCGTTGTAATTCTCAATAAATGTTAATAATAATAATATAAATAAAGACATTCATTGCTTTATTTATATATATTAAATGGTACCACTTTTAAGGCAAACAAAAAGCTTAATAAAACGCCAGTAAAGCCAGACACTGTTCAAGCCTCAATTACCATAAGAACAAGGAAAAAAATAAAAAAAATTAAATTAACTTTTTATAAAATTTCTGGATTCCTCCTGCGTCGTTTTATAACAAGTATTACAATAGCCTGTGGAAGTTTCTTTTCAAAATTAAATACGTTACGCAGAGTTTCTGCTTCTTCTTCTTCTTCCTCTTTTAGAAGGCGTATCGCGTGTTTAGTTCCGGTTTCCTCCTCGTCTAAGCAACTCTTGCGAGGTTGACTGCCAACTATCTCGCCAACGTTTAGGTAGCCGTCCAGTAGGTCTTCTGTCATGGGGTACGTTGTTGCGAATTATTATGGCCATTCTGTCGGGGCCCATTCTACTGACATGCTGGTTCCATTCTCTTCTTCTCTGCCTTATCCATCTGACAACGTCATTTGTTTGGCACTTTTCTCTTATGTCTACATTTCTCTGTCTGTCCCTCAATGTATATCCAGTTATCATTCTTAAGGTCTTCATTTCAGTAGTTCGTAGGATTCTCTTTGTTACTGATGTTTTAGCTCTGGTTTCCGCACCATATGTCATCACTGGTCGTACGCAGGTTTTGTATATTCTTGACTTGCACTTAAATGTTTGTTTTTCCAAATGGGATATTTAAGATGTCCTGATATTGCGGCATGTTTATTGGCTTGTTTCCTTACTTTTTTTTCCAGGAATCCAGAGCTTGTAATTTTGCATCCCAGGTATTCGAGTGACATTATCTGATCAATAATTTTGTTTTTTATTACCAATTTGCACCGTAGAGGCTACTTTGCAATGGTCATGCATTTGGTCTTATTTGTGGAAAACGCAGAGTTTATAATCATTAAATATAGTTTTCAATAAAGCGAGAAGTCGCAGGAGAAAGGAAGGGGTAAGGGTAAACAGGAGATTGGTTTTCCGATACAGATATTATTGAGTTCCAAGAAGACATTTTTGTATACCGGTTTTTAATAGTTTTGGTTTATATTGTCGAATCGAAAAGACTTACATTATTTATTGTATGTGCAATGCTATAAGAAAATGATCTTTTAAACATTTCTTTTCGATGCTGCGGTATTCTCATAAATTTTTTTCTTAGATTCAGGTCAAGAACATCTGTACGAAAAGCGATTTTGTTATAAAGATATTTAGGAGATTTACACTTAATTAATTTAAAACAGAATGTAACACGGTGTCACCTAAAAAAATACAATTTTAGTTTTTATGTCAAAACTTGTGACTCCGAGACGAAAACTGACCATGGAAAAACACTATCCAGTTTTCAACTTTTCAATAAGTTTACTTCAAACCAAGTAAAGGAGCTGCAAGCTGTCTAAAGTCTAATTCATCTTCTTCTCTTCTCCATTTATATCGAATTCATTGACTGCCTTTGCGTTTTCGTTGGACAAAACAAATCTATATGAATCATAGTCAACTATGATTGGCACATAAAATGAGAGAGTTGTATTTATTTATGAGTAAACGGAGAGATGTAGAAAAAATCAGGGTACACCCACTTTATTTGTCCTTAAAAAATACCCTAGTAATGTTTTTATCCGAATCCAAAATTTTCATAAATAAAAATAAATTTCAAAATTCCCGAAAATTGAGAAACGCTTTATATCTCGATTGGTAGCGAAGATGCGGTTTTCGGCAAGTTGATTTTGCCGAATCTAGCTTTTTCCTGTTAACACACTCCAATTAAGACCGCCCTGTACAGGGCACAATGTATAAGCCGACTCTTTTGAGGAATAATGCTAATTTTTGTGCATTTAATCAAATTAAAATCTCGTGATCAATGAAAATTGACTTGCCATGGGTTTACAAAGTTGCGTTGGATAAACTCCTAACTAAAAAAGATGTAAACCAGAACCCCAGAAGGGCAAAACATTTTTTGGCCCTTTTTAACTATTAAAATAAAAGAAGCAGACGTTTTGCCTATTACTTAGTAAAAAGAAGTCAATTGACATGCCGTTAAAGTTTTGCAGGCTCCAGAACCTCAACAATTTTTGTTTTTGTTTTATACTTTACTATACTTACTTCAGTCTGTCGCTTGTTTCAGAAAAAATAAAAGAAAGAAATTTTTGACTCCGGAACAGGACTGGGAATGGGACGGGTGCGTCGAGAACATCGAATTTGGGATCAAAAAGTCGAAAGATTTTCTGGACACGCGATACAAGAAACGAAGCGACATGAAGACTTTGGTGAAGTTGCACAACTACGTAGCCGGGAGACATGTAAGTTGCATTGATGCAGAGTATTTATCTTTCTATATTTCAAGTTTTTTCCCTAGTTAGTTTAATTAAGCAGGTGCACTGTGATAAGTGCTTTTTGTATTCAAAACTTCAAAATATTGAACTTATAACTTATACTAATGATTTTAAATTAAACAGTTTAGCTCACTAACTGCGGGAATCTTCTATATCTCCAGAAAATAGTTAATATTATACAACTTTCTTATTTTAAACAAATTTCAGAGAATTTTTTTGTAATTTTCTATAAAAAATCATTCACATCCTAAAAATTTTTTCCGGTTTAATCAAGTTTAAAACACTTTTTGCTTTTAATTATTTCAAATGACTAAACCTTTGAAACTTCTAAGGAATATTATGATTACTGATGTGTAAATAATGATTTCGTTTGCCTTCATTTTGTATTTCTTGTTTCATGTGTTCCAAGTTTGTTATGTCTTTCATTGATTGTTAGGTCCTACATTCAATTTTGCTATTTTGATTTTATGTGCTAATTTGCCATTCACCGTGTTAATTTTATTTATTGTGTGTGGCATACATCATATTTAAATAAAAAATATAAATTATCGAGAATACCCTCGAAAATAGAAAAAATAATTAGAATTATTCTGCATCTGACCATTAATAATATACAGGGTGTATTAAAAAATAACTTTGACACTAATGTATATTATTTTAGCAATGTTGTTTATCTAGGTTGCTCCCACAAACAAGTAATATCATCGTATAGTAGATGCATTCTATGTTAAAAATGATTTACTTATTAAAACAAAGTAAATAATACAGGGTGTTAAAAACTACCATTCAAATGAATACATCTTTAAATGTTATTTTTTCAATTGGAAACACCCATTTTATTTAGTATTAAAAATGAGGGGCACTTTGTTTAAGATTCCACGTTACAGAAAGTTGTAGATTTGGAAATATTTTCAATAAAACTAGTTTCCCTCGTAAAAATTATGCGGCTTTTATATTTTTCTATTACTTGGCTATCACAATGAAGGTAAAAATGACGAATACAAAAAAGAGTTTGACAATTTCTGTTTAAAATTTTTATATCTCCGAACTTGATCATTTTTTTATTATTACTGTTAGTTTATTATTATTTCGATTTATTTATTTATATTATTGTATATAATAAAATAATGTTTTAAAAGTATAAATTAATCCCAACAACTTTCATCTCACTCTTTGGATATTTTTTACAGATAATTAGATAAGGTACCTATAATCTCACAATAAACTGATTTGAATATACAGGGTATTTAGAGAAAACAGATTTCATGGTCGAAAGGTCTCTTCAAATTAAATTTTCTTAAGTTCTACTTAATTGAACACCAACTGAGCAGAGGAAACGAGCAAGATGCGATGGCGACGTCTCTCGCTTTCTGTTAATTTGTTTCTGGACAGCCCCTTCTAATTATTTATAACATCTTGTTTCCATCTTGTAACTGACCTTCCTCGTTTCCTTTGCTCAGTTGGTATCTATTATCAATAAAAATAATAATGATAATAATATCAGAGTTTTTTTTTTCAAAATTTCCCTTTTGTGCTCGCTCTAAATGAAATTTTATAAAATAAATAAAGATCGCAAATGATAATATAATAAAAAGGTGTTCTAGGTAACCTGTAGATAATTTAAAATAAACGACGAGCTCGTACTCCATGAATGAACCAAAGGCCTAAATTTTGAAGTTTTCGTAGACCTCTTTTATCCACTGAGTCAAGACAAGTGCCAAAGACTGCACAGCGGTGATTTAACTGAGATAAAACCAGGGAGTTGGACAGAAGTGTTTTGATTTCTCTGGGCACACAATGTAGGTCGGAGTTAATTTTTACACGAATCAGAAAACTGCAATGGCAAATCATCAACTTTCATTAAACGAATGGTAAAAGTTTGGTTATGGCGGAATTAACGTATTCCTTAATTTCTTGATGGTTATTGCCATTTGTCAATACAAATTAGTGTCGTCGGAATATAGATAATAAATAGTGTACACTAGGGGTCCCAGAATATCACCTTGAGGTACCCCGGATTTAACGTCTATTCTATTTGAACGCTGAATGTCTTCAGCAATCGTTCAGCCCAATAAATCTTAATATAGCTACTAAAAGGTCATGATTGACCATATCAAACGTACTACTAAAGTATGAACGGGTCCTCCTTTACATCAGCAACTCTCACAACTAAATCCTGAGATCCTGACTGTTTTTCGGGTAATATTTTATTTCCGTTGACAAAATTTCTTCATCGAAGTTCCATTACTTTTTTGAGAAGGTGAGTACAATACAGTCCCAAATTCAATTGGATTAATAATCTTTGGAAAGGGAATAATTTACGCCTGTTTCCAGATGAGTGGAGAGTAAGAATATAGGACAAATTCATTAATGATGTTTGTCGTATAGGGCACAATGAAATAAGAGTTATATTATTTCCAAATTTAATTGCACTGCTCAACGCTCATGCAATATTGTATATGAATATGTTCTAATTCAAAATAACAAAGCGAAATCACTGAGTTTGCAGTTTACTCATATGAAAGTAAGCGACGCCTACACGGTTGCTTCTTTGTTTCAGGCGATCAAAGAGAACATGCGCAAGGAGTGCAAGTGTCACGGCCTGTCCGGCTCTTGCTCCATGAAATCTTGTATACGCAAAATGCCTTCGTTCCGAGAAATAGGCAACCACCTCAAAGAACGGTTCGACGGTGCAGCCAAAGTCATCGCGGGCAACGATGGTCAGAGTTTCATGCCGGAGGGAGAAACCATCAAACCTCCAAGTCGGTTCGATTTGGTCTATTCGGAAGAGTCCCCAAGTTTTTGTCTACCGAACACCACTCTCGGATCTTTCGGTACTCAAGGGAGGGAGTGTAACGAAACGTCTCCAGGCGAAGAAGGTTGCGGTATACTATGCTGCGGTCGGGGCTACCACACGTACACGAAGGAAGTGCAGAAGAATTGCCGCTGTGAGTTTATTTATTGCTGTGATGTCAAATGTCAGACTTGCAACGAGAGTGTGAGGATTAGTACTTGTTCGTGATCGGTTTTGACTTTGAATTAGTTTGTGATTCCTCGGCAAGTTTTGTATATACTATATCTAATCGTCGCATGGTTTCGAGGATTTTTAATTTATTTATATGTACTTTTTAAATTGTTTACTAATATAAATTTGTATATACCAACTTTATGCGTTTTAGTCTTCCCTTGCTTACAGACACTAGCCCGGAAGAGTATACAAGGTAAGTATACATTTTTATTCTACTTGACTTCAACAACTTTTGGACCTTTCTCTGTGATCATCACATTATCATAATAGTACAAGAGAACTAAGTTGTCAGTAACGGGGAAGGTGGAACAAATTTTTATAATCCTGGGACTGCCTGGAAAATGTGTTACTATACTTCCTTTTTAACATACTAAAAGTCCCCGCATGTATCTTTGACCAAAAGGCCTCAAAAAAGGTCCGTCATCTTGAAAATCGTCACTTTTGGCTAAAATCTTGTTATATCTCCCAAAATATCACATATATCGAAAAATATCAAGAGAGGAAAATTGAAAGGCATAAAAATATACGTTTGAGATATGTATTTCCAGCCTTTTACATATAATCGCATTCAAGATATAATAGCTAAATTTTGTGTTAAATACCAATTGCATTCCCGTGAGTTTCATAAGTAACTTATTCAGACGAATAATTTCATTTAGAGGGGGTTGATTTCCATCTGTTTAGCTCGAGCAGTGACGTCACCTATCCCCATAGAAAGAAGTTTGAGTAGGTTTCATAAGTTAATAAAATAGTACAATCATTTGATTCGTCATATATTTTGGTGCTCTAACATCAAGAGTATGGGAACGTAAATCAAGGATTATGCATCGTTAATTTTTATTTGGACTTCGATTTCGCCCGTGACTTTCGAATGTCTCTTTATACTTACGTAACGTCAGAAGGAATAAGTAAATAAAAGTTCCCAGTGGTAATGTTAGATTTGTTAATAAGTCAGACTTTCTGCGTTACGCACTAGCTCCCACATGGTTGTTGGAAGAGAAAACGACAAAAATAGTGAAACTCTACTTTTCTAGTGAATTTCGATCGAACTCCAGTCGAAATCGTCTTTTTCATTTATTTTTGTATTTAATACGACATAGAATCTAAACTTATCAACCTGAAACCTTGGTTTCTGGGTTAAATACGAACTCCATCGCGAATATTTTTAATGAAAATCACAAAAAATGTGTGAAATTTTAGCGCAAACTACCAACAAATATTAACCCAGAACCTCACTTTCTGGATTAAACTGTGGCTCCAAGGAGGATTTTTTAGAGAAAACAATGAAATTCCAGTCAAACTTGTCTTTTTCACTTATGTATTGTATAGTGAACGAAATCAAACCTGTAGTTTAAACATTTAGTTTCTCAGTTGAAGATAAGCTCCAAGGAGAATTTTTGAAGAAACACAAGCAAAAAATTAGTGACACTTGAAATTGTATTCAAAATCGGCTTTTCGATAATTTTTACATAGAAAACCTCAAACCTGCAGCGATCAACCTAAAACCTCACTTTCTGGATTAAAGAGAGCCGACGAGACTCGACTTTTTCTAATAAATTTTGATCAAATTCCAATTCACATTCGTCGTTCTCACCTACTTTTGTACAGTTATGATATCCGACCAGCAGTTGGGAAGAGAAATTTTAGACAAAAAAAATGCAGAAAGTGAGTGAAACTTACTAGTTGATTTCGACGAAATTCTTCTCAAAATCAGTTCTCTGTCCTCAGTTCAGCTGGATTTTTGAGGAGAAAACCACAACAAGTCAGTAACTATATACGTTTTTAGTGAATTTCATCACAGGAAATGAGTGAAGTGCTTCTATTTATAATCAAAAGTTAGCTTTGACAAGAATTTTTTCAATGAAAAGGATGCCAAGAATAAAAACAACCTAAAACCTCACTTTCTATGTTAAACTATAGCTTGAAGAAGTACTGAAGAGATAGCCACAAAAAGTCAGAATAAAATTCAAGCAAAACTCCTCTGAAAAACTGAATTTTAATATTGTGAACATCACACCTGCAGCTAAAACATTACTTTCTATATAAAACGCCAACTTTAATGGGGACTCATATAACGAGGGATCCTCAAATGCATTTCGATCAAATCAACTACTGTTGTATAATATACCATAAGCAGAAAGTAAATGAAACTCACTAGTTGATTTCGATGACCCCAAGAAGAAGAACAACCTAAAACCTCACTTTCTAGGTATTGAAGACCTGCTCTAATGGGGACTTATAACGTAGAAACCGCAAAAATGAGTGCAATTTCCAAAACCTCACTTTCAGGGTCAAACTATAGTTCCAAAGAGGAAAAAACCGCATTACCGGGTATAGAAATCTTCTTAAAACTTTGGCGTGACCAGATTAAAACTATCGCCAAAAGAATTCAACACAAATAAACTCGATGAAAACGTACCGGTTTTCGTGTGCTATTATTGGCAACGTTCTTCTTCGATCGGTAATTACCGTATCGCGTATCGATTAAAATTATCGAAATATTGAATTACGATCGGGTCCGCGAGCGGCAGCGTTGCCTTTTTATGAACGGTTATTGCCTCGAATTTTTAATAACTTTATATTATAAACAAACAGTTAAATCAACACCGAGCCCCTTAATAGTTTTTATTATACCCGTCGGACATGGATCTTCGATTAGATACGAGCCAGTGTGGGCAGTGCGACTTTGTTTGGTCAATTATAATTTACCGCCGATTGGTATTAAACGTGCGTGATTTTTCTAGACGATCCGGGGACCCGTACGTTTACGATCTGCGAAAGGATTTTACTCGTCGCTTTGTTTAGACTGAGTTTCTGTTACGTCACTAGCGTTTATATTGCCAGCCGAAGCGCAATCACGACAGTTCCAAAAAGTCGACAAATTAATGAAAAAACAGCTATGGATTCCTGACCTACAAGTTTCATCTATAACCGAAAATGTGGAAACGATATGTATCAATCCTTTCTGGACATCCATAGTAACGGAAAGCAGAATGAACCTTAGCCAGTTCTGTGAAATTCGTGACATCTGTGAAATCTTTGGTACCTCTGAAATCCGTGATATATTTCTGAAATCATAACGTGTTTCCTTGAACTTTTGAGCATGGTTCATTCATTAAAACAAATTAAACTGGAGAAAATGACATAATTATGAAACAAATTTGTATAAGTTATTTGATTGACGTCTGCAAGTGTAAGATTTGGTTGGAACATAACCAATGTCGAGAAATACTATTGTAAAATTATTTTACCGGTGGGATCTTAATATTAATAATTAACAATATGTTTTCCTAAAATGCTTTAAACACCCCCTTTTCTGTTAATAAGATGACGTCATTGAACTTATAAAGATAATTTAATATGGGCAAAATTGTTCTATTTAAAGAAATTGCAAGCGCATTGCAAGAAAAAGCAACAGTTAAGAAAAAAAATTTTGAAAAAATAAAAATAAAATTTTGTTTGTTGATTATTATTATTATTATATTTAATAACCAACCTAATTATTGATAATTTAATACTGACACTGACACATCTCATGTTATTTAAAAAAGTTATTTAAAATAGCGCATTCGTAAATACATTATCAATTTTAATAATTGGTTATTTATTAATTAGTTTTCATGAGTAAAATTCTGTAAAATACGTAAAATCTGATACCCATTAAATCCGTGAAATCTGTAAAATCCCTTGGTTTTGTGAAATCTGGTGTACCAGTTTTGGTTGGAGATTTGTTCCTCGCTTATGCCATTCCATCTATAGAAAACGGTTATTTAAGAAAAAATGTGTAAAATGACGCATTTTTTAATATACTAAAATTTTAATAATTTGTAATTTGTTAATTAGTTTTATTAATAAGCAATGGCGCATTTTTTAATTACATTAAAATTTTAATAATTTATAATTTATTAGTTAATTTTCACAATGAGCAGAATTCTGCGAAATCCGTGAAATGTGAAGTCCCTTAAATCTTTGTGAAGTCTGTGTAATCTGTGAGACATTATGGCTGTGTAAAATCTGGCGAACAAATTTTAGTTGCGCCATGTCGTCTATCGAAAACGGAACAATATCAATCGACACTTGCTTTATCACATCGCTATCCTTGATTAATAGCTTAGTTTTCAGAAGAATATCACTCTCCCAACCTAAATCTCTTACCCAGGAATTAACACATTTCTACTCAAATAATTCGTTTAAAATCTCCCCGATCAAATATCAAAAATTCTGAAAACACATACCTTCGCAACTAGATTCTCCACTTGGACAGCTACGAGTTGAAACATATCAATCAGACCAAAAGAATCTGAGAGATCAGTCGGACTCCGAAAAATAACGATATCAGCACTTACTGAACATCTTCCAGATTATATTCGATAAGTTCGATTCGATTCGATCTCTTCTAGGAAAAAGCCGAGAATGTATGGAAATAATCAAACAATCTAATAACATAATCCGCTATACAGGTTTCTACCTTACTTCCATTTGGGTGTCCAGTAGGAATTTCATATGAATACAGAACAATAGGCAACAGCCGATGCAGAAAAAATACAGAATTCCTAAGACGATCAGAAGCAAGATGAAGTTGTACAATTTTCTCTTGAAATATGCTTTTCTTTCTAATTATTACTCAATATTCGTGACCTTAATTTTTCCGGTACTAAATTGCTAACTATATGATCCTTTTGAGCATAAAGTTTGGGACATGACAAGATCTCTGGGCCACTAGTTTCAAAACTCCGTTCACTTTAAGCTTGTAGCAGTTGCTGCTAACTCATTATTATTTTTTCCACCCAGGTCGATGTTCGAGTATTAATTCAAATAAAACTATACCATATGCAGAAGAGTGTGCACTATTTACAAATTTTGACTCCTATCAGTTTTTTCCTCCAAAGGAGCTTGATATAGCTAGCTAGTATAGTGCTACTAACAATAGCTAATGGTTTTTGAATCTTGGTCAGTAGAAACCAGGAACTTTAGACCCTTGGTTGTAATAGACAATTACTAAAATTCCTCGCTGCTACGGATTCCCTAAGATTGATAAAATTAAAAACCTTTTACAGGAAAAATTGATGGTTTTATACTCAATTCATTTCAATTCACTAAAACATTAAAAACCAAACCAATACAAAAGATTTGGAA